TTACTAAGCGTGGTTCAGCTTGCACCAATTGTTTATAAATCTTCCGCATCTGCCACGCTTGACCTACAGTCTGCCCTTCTTCGGCAATTTAGCAGCCTACACTGTACTCCATCGACTCCAATCCAACCAACAGACCTTTCCCAGGGCAACATTTTGGAGGAAGCATATAAACGCACATTCAAAGAGTTGCTTTCCTCAAGTCCTGACTCGGCGACCTCAGCTCGCTTGCTGGCAGTATCCAGCGAGGCGAGTTGTGGCTGGCTGAGATCTTTGCCCAATACGTCGGTGGGTACCAGATTGGACGACGAAACGGTCAGGACAGCCATTGGCTTCCGTCTGGGGTTGGCCGTTCAGAGTCGATATACATGCAGGTGCGGCGCGGAGGCGGATGAACTTGGCCATCATGGTCTTGTTTGTCGTTTGGACGGAGGTCGCCAGCAGCGACATCCAGCCATAAACGATTTTGTGTGCCGACTTTTCTCCAAGGCCTCAATTCCGGTTTTAAAGGAACCGTCGGGCATTGCGGCGCACGACGGTAAACGCCCTGACGGGTGTACCTTGATTCCTTGGAGAGCCGGCAGGTGCTTGGCGTGGGACGTTACCGTCCCGGGCACTTTTGCTGAGCGCTACGTGCAGCTTACTAGCAAAGAAAGCGGTTTGGCTGCAACCAGGGCATCTGACGAGAGGATCAAAAAGTACGACGGAGCTCTCCCCTCGATGGAGTTTTTACAGATTTGTATCGAGGTTCTCGGCCCCATGGACCGTAACACCTCCGGGTTTTTCAATCGAATTTGCAAAAATATCAATATTAGGTCAGGCGATAGTAGGAAATATTTTTTTGCTATGAATAATATCTCGTGCATCCTGCAGCGGTTTTTGCGCGTCTGTGTGTTGGAAAATGTGGAGTTGAATGCCGACGGGGTTGAGTGACGTTATAGCAAATAAAATCAAATTTAGTCAGACGCTTGGCTTTTGGTGTCATTCGTCAATGATTTGGTTTTAACATACACACATACATACATACATACATGCATACATACATACATACATACATACATACATACATACATACATACATACATACATACATACATACATACATACATACATACATACATACATACATACATACATACATACATACATACATACATGCATGCATGCATGCATGCATACATACATACATACATACATACATACATACATACATGCATGCATGCATACATACATACATACATACATACATACATACATACATACATACATACATACATACATACATACATACATGCATGCATACATACATACATACATACATACATACATACATACATACATACATACATACATGGGGAAACATAATTTGGGGAAACAGTCCTGACATTCATCTAAAACAGTTAACAAAATGCCAAAACCGATTCATCAGAATATTTAAAAATCTTCATACTCATTGTCACACAAGTGAATATTATCTCGAGATGAAAATACTCAACATCAAAAACTTGTTCATCTACCACGTTGCAACATTCATTTTTAGATTTCTACGTCAGCAATTGCCGGCATTTTTTAGAAACTTTTTCACTTTTGGAACTTCCATTCAAGCAAGAACTACACGGCACACGCCACTTTTCTATGCTCCACCAGCCAGAATTAAAGTACTCTGCATGAGTTTGAAACATACCGGCCCAGGAATATGGGAGACGATTCCACAAGAAATTAAAGATTGTAACACTTTGCATCTTTTTAAAAATAAACTGAAAAATTTTTTAATTACGAAAAGTTCTGTTTTTCAATGATAATAATGTATATGTATATATATGTATATAAGTGTGTACATATTTCATTAACATTGATACATTTTCTCCTATTGACAATTTTATTTTATCATTGAGAAGCAATTTTGAGCTGCACGGTGGCCGAGCCCACAAGAATTAATTTTCTTTTTTTGGTCTCCGAATCATTCATGCTTTTGTTTTGTTTGATTGAATAAAAGTGATTTGATTTGATTTGATACATACATACATACATACATTCACACATACATACATAAATACATACATACATACATACATACATACATACATACATGCATACATACATACATACATGCATACATACATACAAACATACATACAAACATACAAGTTATAGATGCAGCTTTGTTTGATAGATGCTTTATTAAAATCATAACGGTGGTTTGATCCGACATTCAGTCAACTTGTCACGTGCTTATGTTTTATGTGTGACGTCATATTTGTTTGTTATTATTGTTTATATGACGGTACATTTAACTCATTTTTATAGCGCATATTTATAAAGATAAAAAAACATGAAAAAAATTGACATTTATTTATTATTTGACGTCTTTCGTGCTGCTGTTACTGTTACGTAATTGTGTGGTTTTTAATGTTTTAATGCTAATGCTGTTTATGTGCCTTTGTAAATCGAGTGTTATTAAATTGATGTGTTGATGATGTCATCGCGGTAGATGACGTCATTTCATTTTCCAAGTGATGTATCGCTGGTCTGTGACGATGGCCTGCTGATGGCGATGTCATTATTTTAACTCATGACGTAATAATCGCCATTTTCCTGTAATCATTACCATCATCGTTGCAGTAACCATCATCATCACTACCACCACTGTCATTGTTATTATTAGTTGAAATTATCATAATCGTAATCATTATCGTCGTCGCCATCATCATCATCATCATCATCATCATCATCATCATCATCATCACAGTCTTTGCTGCTATAATTAACATTAGCGCCAAAACACATTCACCCAATAATATTTGCCAATTTTTTAGCTTTCAGCATCATTATCATCATGTTCATCATCATCGCCATTATCATCATCATCGTCGTCGTCATCATCATAATTTCAAAGCCTTCTCCGAGGAACATATGTTGTTGGCAGACAACAAGAGAAGAAAATGATGATGACGTTGATGATCTGATTCAGGAAAAAAAAAAAAATTTCTTCTTGGTAAGCATCATAAATGATAAGTGGCCGTACTTCTTATAGATTATAACTCATAATAGATGAAGAGATGTGTGAAATGTGTAAAATAGATAAACAAACTGAGAAAATTAATAATAATAATTTAAATTATTAATAAATAAATTCTTTAATAAATTGACTTATTTATAGATGAACAAACAAAAAAAATAAACAAACGAACGGACGAACGAAAGAGCGAGCGAACGAACAAACCAGTGAATGATGAAGCAATACACGATTGCTTTGGAAGATGTGTTGTTTGGTTCGATTGATCCGAGCGTTCGATTTTTCAAACAATAAATTTTTTACCAAGGTGGCTCATATTGATCACACAACGTATTATTATTATTGTTATTATTATAATAACAATTATTATTATTATTATTATTATTATTATTATTATTATTATTATTATTATTATTATGCGTATAATCACTACATTACAATATCTAATACAGTTTTTTGATCAACATTAAAACTCCGAATAAAATGTTTTTTCATTATCCTCGTTCTATCATCATTTAAGTAAACATCATCACTATTTGACATTTCATGATGATGACTAAAAATGATAATTTTACATTCGTCATCTTCATCATCTTTTTCTACGTCATCAGCTTCATCATCATCATCTTCATCATCTTCTCCTTCATCATCTTCATCCTCATGGTGGTTGTCGCCAAAGTCATCGACATTCCATCATTGACTTCGAAGTAACGTTCCTCCAATACGATTTTTATTATCATCATTGATTATTTGTTTTGATTGTTGTCGTCTTCGTTGTCGATAACCCCACAGTAAGAATCATTTTCAACATTTTCCTCATCATCATCCATGCCTTTGTTATCACTCTCAAATCGCCGATATTATTACTGCTACAGTTCAATTTGACGTTATTATGATAAATATTTCACTTACTATCGCCAACATCATTTTATCTTTCGCTATAATCATTTTCATTACCAGCCTCATCATCAGAAGCAAAGCAAGACAGACATGAACCACCACAATCCATCATAATTTTTATAGCATCATCCTTCTTTCTCTTCATAAAATTACAGCAAAAATTATAAATTTCGTTCATCATCGTCGTCACCTCCATTAAAGTTTCATCTCCATCATCATTTCTTTCCTTCATTTCCGCGCTTATCATTTTGAACTATAATTTTGATAGCCATCATCAACATCACCATCATCAACATCATCATGCGCCTCAGTCGCTTGCCATGGCGCTATATAAAATGACATTATTATTATTATTATAAAATTATACCATGACGTCATAATAAAAGCCATTATCAATTTCATCAACGTCATCAATTTCATCACCAACATCGTCGTCATCCTCACCAGCACCATCGATGCCGTCATTATAAATTTGTCTCTGGCAAGCGACCAAGTGAATGAATGACGTCATAATAAAAGCCATGATGACGTCATAAAGAGCGAAGTGGGGTTGTGATATTGCATTGCGCAATTCATCTCCCTTTACTTCATAACTTGCTCTCCATCCAATTTATAATCTATACATGAAGATGAACTTCCATGTTTACATAAATAAATAATTATTTCAACGAGAACAATCACATTAATGGAAAAAGCCAAAATATACAGTTATCCAACATTATTTTTGATAACTTGCAAACGTTTTTTTCTGAAACATTTCAAAATTTGGTTGACATGTTTACCGATTTTCTCCAAAAAATAAAATGCTAATCAATGATTTTTTAAATCAAAATAGACATAAAAAACTGTGGAAATTTAAAAAAAATATTTTTTAGAATCTTTTACAATTTATTAATAGATTATACTAAAGTTGGCAACAAAAAAAACATTTTTTTCACTTTATTTTTATCAGAAACTCGGCGTAAATGGATTTAAATTTGTTTTAATTATTTGCACTTAGTATTCCTTCTCCCATCTACGGTGCACATATATTTTCAAATAAAATTCCATTAAAATGTTTTCAGTTTAAACATTTCTGTCTCGCTCAATTAAATTGGAGACTTTTTAAAGAATTGCCCATAAACTTTCGACCAAAGTTTATTTGACAATTTTTGTTTCTTATTTTAAAACGAGAGTTGTTTCTGCTTTAATTTCAATTTCATAGATCATCATTTTCCCATTAAATTTATTGAATGTTGTTTTGTAACGTGTAAGAACGCTATCAACTCGATCAATAAGATAATTGAACCCCTTTTGTTTATTAATTCTAAAGACTCTGTTCAATTAGCACTACTAATTTCTTTACAAAAATACTTCAGACCATCAACAGACATAAAACTTTTGAAACTATTAAAAACTTAAAAGATGTCAACTTAATGTTGACATTCTTTCAATGTTTGAAGCAGTTCAATTTAAACATTCTTCAAACTGCACAAACCCATTTTCTCAGAATATATTCAAAAACCAGCATTCGCTGTGAAGGTGATTTCTGTTTACTTTCCGTTGTAAGCTGTATTTTCGATATATCCTTCTCTCATTTTCTGGCGGGGAGATTTGAATTCGTCATAAATATTTATAAACTACTACTTCTACTACTACTAAACTGAACTACTATTATTAGTAGTAACTAATAATAATAATAATTTTTAATAATACATAGCACAAGTTGTATATATAAAAATACAATTAAAAAAAAAGAAAATAATAAAAAAAATAAATAAAAAATACACGTTTTAGAAAAACCTGAAAATGTACATGTAGCAGGCTACACAGCAAATAAGCAAGTATGCGGAGAGGATTTTTATATAACGGCGAAAGGGTAATTTGTGTACCACGTTAATTCACTTCACGTGTACAAGAAAGCTCATAATTTAAAACACGCATACATAAAGATGATCGTATGTAGTGTATGTATATAAGTATATGTGTATAAATACACTTATACACATATACAGGTATATGTATTGGTATGTATATGGATGTGTATGTGTGTGTGTATATTATTGTATTTGCTTGATGTGCATGGGGCTATAGAGGTATAATTTCCATGAATTGTATGAAATTCGTGTAAATGTTGGAAGGAAACCATATTTGTATTGTATGTACAAAAAAATATAGTCCTTTTCCAACATACATATTTATATATATATTTATAACTATATATAAATAAATATATGAATATATAAAGTAGAAAATAAATATTTCCCGTTATATTGTAGAATGTATGGTGTGTATTGCGAATTATATAAGGGGTTTGTCTGCATCATTTGCGACCTCAGTTAGAAGTCTAATGTTTATGGGAGGAGTGCTTTTTTGTTTGTTTTTTTTTTGTAAGTATTTAATTGCTACTTATTACTACGTAGTTGTTGTTGATGTCGTTTTTTGTTCCCGAATTTTGCAGTTGTTGTTATTGTTTTGTTGTTGCTGTAGTTGCTCATTTTGCTGATTTTAATGTTGTTGATGTTGTTGTTTTAGCATCGAGTCCAATGTTATTACTTGTTATTGTTGGTGTTGCTGCTTGAACGGTTGATATATCATATAGGGATGTTTGTAATTATTTTAAAAAGCGAAAAAGAAAAATTTAAAAATAATTTTTAAATATTATCATCGAAACTATTGTCTTGCAAACATTGAACAACCAAATTAAAATTAATTATTACTTATTAATTAATTATTAAATTACTAATTATTAACAAAATACGTTTTACATTGTAGTTTGTTTGACATTTTACGTAAGATTTTCACGGATTTAATATTTAATACAAACGTTTTTGAGCGATTACCATAAATGTTAAAATAATAATAAATTTACTTTACGATGAATAATTAATTTGATTAATTATTAATTTTAAAAACTGTGATGGATTCATTGATCTAGTGCAAATTACATCTCACCTACATCTTGTTCATCTCATCGGATCAGAAGGCCTTAGGTACTGGAAGACAAACAACTTAATTAGAAATAATATTTGAGACAATCTGCGGCATGAAACCTAACACCATTGCAAAAATGATGACAACAATCAATTCTCATTGACATTATAAAAAAAATAGCTGCTGATACCTTAAAACATCATATGGCACGAAGGCAGCTGCAACTGAAACATTGAAATATTTTGATGGAAATTTTTTACAAACATTAAATGTTGGGCCAACAACCTCAATGGTTAAACATAAGGATAAGAAATATTTAAGTTAAAAATCAAATCAACGTTGAGACATCAAAGACTAATATTACACCCGCAGCAAAAACTTCATTTTACTAATTAACCAGTTATCTCCCCTCAGCACAGTAAACATCAACGCAGAAATGATTCCAGTACTTTCGGGGCCCATCAGTGACATGGTTCGCACAAAATCAGAGTACAACTTTTTCGGACAGTTACCAACTCGCCACTACATTTTTGCTCCAAAATCATCTCGAACCCAAGCGAGTGAGTGTCAAGATAGCAGCGGTCATGCCGGCCAATCAGAACAAAGTGGTCCATTGCAACCAACACTCTTCAACCAATCAATGGATGTCCCAGCTTCAAAAGTGAGGAAGAAGAAAGATCTTAAAATAGGTCAGCCACACCAATGTCAACAACGACATCGCTACAAAACCAAACCACGACAACAAATTCAACAAAAATCGTCATCGGAACAACAACAGTCTGGCACAAAGTCTTCCATTCACATATCTATTGAAAATGATTCACCCATTGCGAACTATGACATCAATAAAACACACTTGAGTTCATCGAAGGTTAAGAAATCAAAACCAATAATATCAACATCCCGATCGAATCCTGCGTTGTCTTTGTGCGCTGTTGAGAGTCCTATGAAACATCAGCTGCAACAACAACAACATCAACATCAGCAGCAGCAACAACATCAGCAGCAGCAGCAACAACAACATGTACAGCAGGATTCAGCAATGCATCAACAATTGCAACAACAACAGAAATTATTGCTCCAACAAGAACAGCTTTTCATATTACAGCAATTGCAACAACAACAACATCAGCATTTTCGACAAAAACATCAACATCAGCAACCACATCAACAGCAGCAGCAGCAACTCCAACAACATCAACAACAACAACAATATCAGCCGAAGCAGCAATTTCAACAACATCAACTACAACATCCATCACAACAACAACAACTGTCTCAACAACAAAATCAGCAAATTATCTTAGGATGCATTGAATGCTCAAGAGAAATCGAAGACAACAAAAACAACAATAACGAAAAGTGTATGGTCGATACCGTAAATAACAACGCGAATGATAATAACTCCAATCAAGCAATTCGCAGCTCTCTCGTAGAAATAGGAGCAAAGTTATTTACTGCACCAACCCCTATTACTGCTGTCACTACTATTTTCGCAATAACCTCTGGTAACATTAACACTACTACAGTCTCAAATGCCTCTTTTTCAAACTGCACAAGAAATACTTACGGAGATTGCAACAATGTTGCAGTTGATAAAACTAGAGCCAACTTTAATTTAATTAACAACAACGACGACAATATACCCAATGCTGTTCCAGACAGTACTCTGTCATCATCCATCAAAAGGCTTCCAACGTCCTCGTCATCAGCTCCTCGGCAAACAACATCAACTTCATCATTTCATCTGACAACAAACTCAATAATATCATCCTCATCGTCGTCGTCGTCGTCAAAAAATCCTGCACCGTTATTAGCGTTGTCAGATTTGAAATACGAGCACCGCAATATTGTAAACAGTAATTTTTTCAACATGACCAATTCTCACACCATAGATTTAGCGAACGCCAACACAAGTGACTTTTACGAAACGGACACCGCGAAAGATTGGTCATCGTTGGTCAGCTTAACCGACTATTCAGCCGGTTTGATACATCGCTATAAAAAAGCACTAGAGGATAGCTTGGTGACGAGCGGCGGCTCGATGGCTAGCGACTATTCGTTGACAAGTATCGAAGCCGTTCACGGCAGTTTAATGAGTGACAGTTGTGAAGATGTTGATGATGAAGGTGGAAACATCCGCGAACCACACTGCAAACATAGTAACGTTATTGGTGGCGGTGACGACGATGATGTCGATGCTAGCATGGAAAACAAAACTGACGCCAATGGAAATGAAAATTATCCAAATCACGTGACCGACCTGGAGAACCCGACAAGCAATAAATATGACAAAATTGAAAATGGCCTGAATGAATATGATGTTGTCGTTGCAACAGCCGCTCGTAATGAAGGACATCTGCAACGACAGAACCAATCATATCTACAATGCTCAACGCAAACACAGCAGGAATATGTTACTAAAAAAAAACAGGGAACGTATGCTGGCAAATATAAAGATTTGAATACAACAGAGTTGCTTCAACAAACAACCAACAAAATCACAACACCCTTATTGACGACGACAACAACAGAACAGCTCAAGGTCATTAAATCATCTAAAAACGTTGAAAAAGATTGTGAGAAGCAACCACTGCTGAGCGATGCAACAACACAACAATCTCACTTACAACAACAACATCAAACTCAGCAGCAACAACAACATCAACAGCAACAGCATCAAGAGTTATCTACTCAACTTCAGTCGTCATCATCACAAACATTTTTGAATCTCTTATCGCAGCCGCACATTTTAAAAGTGGACTTCAATGTCCAGAGTGGTCTGGGAAAATTCACGTGAGTCTGTTGTTGTTGTTCAAGAAAAAACTAAATACCGGTGACAACAATTGACAAGTGTGACGCATGAACATGTTGAAAACTAAATCACGATCTAAAGTAACATTATTTTGCGCTAAAATATATTAATGAAAAGTTTTGACTTGAATGCCCGACGTTAAAATGACTAACTGATATGTACTGCGTATCTAGGAAGAACGAATTTCAACGTAATTAAACGAAACATTCAACAATTTATATATTGAACAACCTTACAGGTCGTCCGCGTTGAATATGAACCCTCTCATGTACCAGCAACATCTCTCCAACTGTCGACTTCTACTTTTCAACAACTACCACGACCACTTCAACGACACTTACAACGACAACGACAGTATTAAACAGACAGTCGTCATCAGCCACCAGAATGCAAACGACTTTTTTAACAACAGCCACAATAATTGCGATAGCTACCAAAACGCTACCACCAAAAATAAAGGCACACATTATTCGACTGACAAATCAACAAGCCGGTTGATTGAGCCACAACGAGCAGTGATGGACGACGATCGCATTTCATCAAACAGCAGCCAGTCGACAAAATTTTTCGACGACGACGACGACGCTAACAACTGCACTGAAATTAATAACTGCGATGCAAAAAATAATCGAACGAACAAGTCTCCATCTCCATCAATTTCACCATCCTCCTCCTCTTTCTCCTCAGATAACTCCGCCATTGATATCCACGACTGCAAATTATCAGGCTGCGAACGACTACGCATCAACGTGTGCGGTCAACTTTTTGAAACTCGACGGGCAGTTTTGGAACGACATCCTGGAACTCTTCTTGGCGACAGCTGCAAACGCCAAGCCTTTTTTGACGAAGAACGTCGCGAACTATTCTTTGATCGTCATCGTCCCAGCTTCGAAGCCATATTTGCGTACTATCAACACGGCGGCAGACTGCGACGCCCCTATCACGTCCCCAATGACGTGTTCCTGGACGAGTTGACATTTTTTGAATTGGAGCTTGATATGGTTGAGGAGTATAAACGATCCGAAGGGTACATCTTTGAAGAGGTGCCCCTACCGAGATGTGATTGGATGAGAAAAGTGTGGATGTTGTTTGAAGATCCGCAGTCTTCCAAAACGGCATTCTACGTAGCCATTCTATCCGTTTTGATGACTCTTATCTCTATCGTCATATTCTGCGTTGAAACTCTTCCAGATTATTCCAAATCCCATTGCAGTGATAATGAAGCGCCCAATTTTTTGGATCCATTTTTCATTATTGAGACAATTTGTACCGGCTGGTTTACAATTGAAGCCATCGCTAGGTAGATATTGATTTGAATGATTTTATAATTTCTAATTTGAACGATACCAGTTTTTTAAATTAATAATGAATATATAATTTATAGCACATACATTTGAAATTAAGCACACAAAATCAACCGAAATTTCATAAACACATTTTCCTCTCAGGATCACAATAAAAACATGACTAAACTCACAACAAGATGATAATACTTTCAGATTTATCTCCTGCCCGGACAAAATTGATTTCTGGAAGGACTTCAAGAACATAGTTGATGTGACGGCGGTTCTGCCGTACTACTGGACACTCTTCAACGTCCTCTACACCATGAGTTGCGCCGGAGCCAAAACAAGCGCCAGTCTTTCTTTTCTACGAGTCATCCGTCTCATCCGAGTTTTCAAACTGACTAAACACTCAGTAGGTCTGCAGGTTCTGCTTCTAACATTCAGAGCAAGCCTTGAAGGGCTTGGACTGTTTCTAGTTGCCTTGATGGTTTCTCTGTTGGTGTTCTCGAGTGCCGTGTATTACGCTGAATATGGCAATCCTGAGTCCCACATGAAGTCAATACCAGATGCTTTCTGGTGGGCCATCATCACTATGACCACCGTTGGGTACGGAGATAAGGTGCCCCTCGGGGTGATGGGAAGGATGATTGGTGCTGCCTGTGCCATCACGGGGGTGCTGACCCTCGCCATACCAGTCCCTATTATAACGGGCCACTTCAACAGGTTCTATTCACACAAGACGGGAAGAGGTCGACACATGTGACGAAGATGATGACGACGATGGTGATGACAACAAGGTTGTAATGAAAATACATTTCTTTAAATTGTTAAATTGTTTTACCAAGAAAGTTTTACTGATTTTTAATTTCCATTGCAACGGTGACAAATGTTTAAAACTGTGACAGTTTGTTTAAAATTTTACGACGACACACGCGCCCATGATAATAACGTCTGGCAATTTGTTAAAAAAATAGAAAAGATGATATAAAAAATTTTGAAACATATTGCATGTATTTATTCAATTTTTTCTTTCAACTTTCATTTTCATCTTTTCATCTATTCAATCATTCAGTCTTTATCAAAAAATTTGGCTTAATATATTCTGGTTTTGAAATGCAAGTAATTGTAAGTAAGAGTACTCACAGACATGTAAAAACAAACGTAATTATGCTTACACATGCACACGCACACACACACACACACATCACTGTACGCATTAATACAAAAATATCCTGTCACAAATTTTTCACAGAAAAAAAGTTAAACATAAAAGTTGAAAACCTCGATAAGTTAAATAAAAAATTGCTGTCCAGAATGGCAGGAATGATGTCATAAAACGTCGGACAACAAAGAAAAATATTAAAAAAAAACTTGAGCAAAATAAAAATTTTTATGCAATGTTTTTTACTTCTGTTCCGATTCTATTCTTTCTGTCTTTTTTCCAATTGTTTTTGCTCTTTTGCATTGAAACATATTCAATTTTCACATTTAATCTCCATGCAAGAGGAGATTTTTGATGCAAACCCATTTGTTGAAGTTTTTAATTCTCCTTTGTCTGTTACATCGCAATTGATTTTGTTGAGCTAGTAAGAATCACAACTGTTTAACATGTATATAAATTTATTTGTTCTGTTTTTAATTATTTACTAGTTTATATGTTTATTCGTTTACTAACTTGGAAATATTCTAGTTTATAAATATACACGAGCGTTTGGTGAAGCTGAGTTATCAATAATATTGAGTCGCATCTGTTTAGAGACTGGTTAAACATTTATGCTATTTTTTGCTTTTTCTTGGTTTCTGTTGGATTTGTTAAACAGTAATTATAAATGGACTTCAAACCTATTCTAAAATAATTTGGTAATAGATTTAAAAACAACAACAATAACAACCACAGCAGCCACCATAGCAGCAGCAGCTACCACAAGAGCTGCAGCAAGAATAAAATTATTAACGCTAACAATCATAAGAAGATCAACGTCGCTATCAGCGGAGACATAAAGACGATGATAAAAACATCATAAGCAATAATGACAACAAAAACCAAACACATCGTCAAAGCAAAAAATTGGTAATTCAATGATACGCAAAAAACAGAAAAACCAAAAAACCATAATAAAACACGATGATAAAAAATTTCCACATAGGCCAAAAAAACAACAATGGCTGTAAAGATACATCGAAAACCAAACTGATGATAACAATCACAACAAACGACATGACTTTCTTAGAAATTGCTCTCATAAAAAGATCATATGCCTGGCACCAAACATTTAATATCCAACCATTCCAGTTAACTCATTTCCATAAAACTTCTTCCGTTATGACAACGTGTTTTAATGTGCAGCTTTGGTTTTGTGGTTGTTGTGGTTGTTGCTGCTTGTGGTTGTTGTGGCTGGTTTTTCGGATTGTTGTGGCTGGTTTTAAAAAATTTTGTGGATAGTTATTTTTGGCGATGCTGTATGACACCCAATAGTAATGGAAGTAGTAATTACAGCAGTTGCTGCTGTTGTGGTTGTCGTGGTTGTTGCCGCTGCTGTTGTTTTAGTTGTTGTAGTTGTAGAAGTAGTCGTTTAATTTCATCTGTTATTGCTGTTAATATGTTGCAATGTTGTGTCTTGCTGCCAATTTTGTTGGTAATTTTTGTTGATGTATTCACTGTTGACGCAACCGTTGATGTTGTAGTTGTTGTAGTTGTTGTAGTTGCTGTTGTTTTTTGTTTTGTTGTCCTTGCTAACAAGTTATAATGACGAGTTTTGTTGCCATAAACTTGAATAGTATGTTTGATTGCCATGTTTGCTGGTAGTTAAGTCGTTACGTTGATGTTTTCACCGTTACAAAAATTGAAATTAAAAATATTTGTTATAAAAGGTTCGGATGAAATATTTGGTGTGAAATGTTTGGAGAGGTTGTCGATGAATGAATATTGCAGTATTAGAGGTGATGGTTCGGTGAGTGATGAACGAGATGGGAATTTAATGAATTCTGTAGATGGAGAAATGATTAGATGAAATGGGTGGATGGATGGATCGTTGGATGCATGGATAAATGCATGGATGGAAGAATTGATTAATGAATAGATGGATGGATTGGTTAATGAATAGATGGATGTGTGGAAAATTAAAAAAAAATGAATGAATGAATGGATGGATGGATACATGGATGGATGAAAATGACGAATTGAAGAAAAAAATTGTTAGCCGTTTGTGTGTATGTTTGTATGTGCGTTTGTATAAATAAATGAACTAATGGCTTGATGAATGTTCGGAAAAATGTACGCATAGATAGAAGTCTAGCTAGATAGAAAAGCAGATTGATTAAATTTTTGTAGATTAACTATAAATTACTAAGAAGATAAAACAAATACTCACAGATATTTTAGCAGACACATAAATGGTACATTCAACTAACTGAAGATATGAATGAAGGAATAAGTTAAGAAAAATAAAAGCACATTAATTGAACATACCAGTATGAAGATAGTAAGATGAAAATAGACGATCCTGAATGTACGTCACTGAAATCTTGAAATAAACTGGCAAATAGAAATATGAATTCATAAAATTTTATGATTTAAACCATCTAACTCAAACATTGCATTCATTTCATATTCAATATCTTTTCATTATACTACAATCTTCCATTCACTTTCAAGTTTTCAAAATTCTCTACCACTTTAGAAACAAATTGATTGGTTGATTGTTTGATATATCTGATGTTTTCTTATTTATGGACACCTGCATCAGATACTAAATTGTATTTGAATAAGGTGACTTAAATTCACTAGATTAAATTTCATTGAAATTTCAAATAAATCAATACTTATCTGAAAAAATGTATTTATATATGGAGTAAATCATGATTTAAGATTTTGAAAAATTATATTGAGTATAAAATATTGGTTCATTCATTTTTACTGCATATTTACATATATATCCTATATAAAAAATATATATGCGCTTATATGTGTGTATAGGTATACGAATGATTATATATTTATATTCAGCGTATATATAAATATGCACACACACACAAACACACACACACGCACATATATATATATATATATATATAATTTTCATTGGCAGCGTGGCAAATGTGTCGTAAGATCCCTTCTAATGGTGTTACCATTAATTCAATTTATCGCATTTAATTGGATGTCCATATTTGCATGCACCTATCTATATGTATGTATGTGTATGTCTGCGTTAGTTTGTGTATGTATGTGTACGTGTATGTATGCATGTGTTTGTGTGTTCTTATGTACGTGTGTATATGTGGGTATCTATGTGTGTGCGTGTTTGTATATGCGTGAGTGAGTGTTGTTGTTACTTTTGGTATGAAATGAATGCATGTATCTTTGTCGGATGCATTAATATACTCAAGTTTGTTGACGAATGTACGTGTGTGTGTGTGTGTGTGTGTGTGTGTTGTGTGTGTGTGTGTGTGTGTGTGTGTGTGTGTGGTGTGTGTAAGTCCAAACGCCAACGTTCGTAAACTTGTGTGCCGTTAGGAAAATTAATTACATTCTCAAATGTGTCTCTTGCTAGCTTTTATATTCTAACGGCGTATCCTAATCTTCTCTATCGCACATACGCACTTTGCCTCAAAACACACACACACAACACATACACACACGCACACACACACATACACGCAGCTAATATTAATTATTTACTTTAATTTTTTAGTATGTATGTATGTATGGTATATATTATAAAAGTATATAAAAGACTAAGAGGATCTGAAATGAATGCATGTATCTTTGTGAGTGAGTATATGTGAATGAGTATATGTGAGTTTTTTTGGTCTAAATTTATCTCTTTTTAACGGTTTTTTTGTTTCTGTCTCTCTATCTTCCTTCTTCTATCTTCCTTCTATAGCACTTCAATTAACTTCTTATCTCTAAAATTTTGTTCATTTGATATTCCTCCACTTCATTCTCTTCCGATTCTTCAATCCATTTTTCATTTTCCTGTGCGTGAAATGGCGGGCAGGCATTTTATTCTTGGATTGATTAATGGTTGTGTACTTGAAGTTTGTTTAATGTCGTTGTATACGTTGTTGTTGTCGTTGTTGTTGAATTTGTTTTGTGTATCATTGTTGTCGTCGTCGTTGTTGTTGTATAAGTTATGTTGTTGTTGTTTATCTATCGTTATAGTAATTATTTTATATGTTGTTATTGTCCTCGACAATGTTGGTCTGTTGTTGTTGTCATTTTATGTCTCATTAATTTTGTTGTTGTTGTCGTTGTTGTTGCGTACGTTGGCGTGGTTTTTGTCCTCCTTAGTAAATAGTTGCGTAGCAGTTTGTTGCCTGGCTGTTGTGTGGTGGTGTGATCAGGTGTGATATTGTGATTCTGCATGCTTGTTTGTTGTTGGTGGATCGTCAGGTCTCTTACATATTCAGTTTTCTCGAACCAGCAAACGTTCATATAACATTACTCAGACCATTTAAATCGTTATATAATTTACACAGTTAGTTTGACATTTGGTTTAGTATTTAAGTAATAATTCAAAATGTTTCGCCAAACAAAAGATAATAAAATTTTGATTTTTTTTTGTACGTGCATACATGCATGCAAGAGAGAGTGGGGAGTGCTGATATCATGCGAACATGTCACTTTCTGGTGCGCAATTTATTATTTATTCTCAGCCTTCTCGCAAGAATATGTAAATTTTTATGGTATAGAAACAAAATAACAAAAAAAAAATTTTTGTCTGTTTTTTTCCGCAATTTGTTTCATTGTTAGTTTTTGATATAATATACATATATATTATATATATATACAATCCTGTGTAAAATATGGTCTCATTCCAACATGCATGTATATATATCAAATCAAATCAAATCACTTTTATTCAATCAAACAAAACAAAAGCATGAATGATTCGGAGACCAAAAAAAGAAAATTAATTCTTGTGGGCTCGGCCACCGTGCAGCTCAAAATTGCTTCTCAATGATAAAATAAAATTGTCAATAGGAGAAAATGTATCAATGTTAATGAAATATGTACACACTTATATACATATATATACATATACATTATTATCCTTGAAAAACAGAACTTTTCGTAATTAAAAAATTTTTCAGTTTATTTTTAAAAAGATGCAAAGTGTTACAATCTTTAATTTCTTGTGGAATCGTCTCCCATACTCCTGGGCCAGTATGTTTCAAACTCATGCAGAGTACTTTAATTCTGGCTGGTGGAGCATAGAAAAGTGGCGTGTGGCGTGTAGTTCTTGCTTGAATGGAAGTTCCAAAAGTGAAAAAGTTTCTAAAAAATGCCGGCAATTGCTGACGTAGAAATCTAAAAATGAATGTTGCAACGTGGTAGATGAACAAGTTTTTGATGTTGAGTATTTTCATCTCGAGATAATATTCACTTGTGTGACAATGAGGATGAAGATTTTTAAATATTCTGATGAATCGGTTTTGGCATTTTGTTAACTGTTTTAGATGAATGTCAGGACTGTTTCCCCAAATTACGTTGCAGTAGATGAGGTGAGGAAAGATTAACGAATAATACAGGTCAATTAGAGTAGGTTTATTTAATTTATTTTTAATTTTGCTTATAACTCCTAGGGTTTTGCATATTCTTTTAGACATAGTATCTATGTGAATATCCCAAGAAAGATTGTCCTTGATTGTTACTCCAAGGAATTTTGTGCTGGTTGAGCGAGGAATAGAAATATTGTTCATTTTTATGTCTAGGTTAGGTATAATATTTGTTAAAATTTTCGGACCAAAAATAATGTAATTACATTTAGAATAATTTATTATTAATTTATTTTTGATAAACCCAGGTTGATATATTTTGAAGACNTGTTATTGATGTATTCTACTTC